TTCTTTCCTTGGCAGCGATCCAAGCCTTGCAAGCCAACTACTACTACCCCAACGAAGCAGCCATCAGGACCGTGTTCCGTTATCGCAGCCGGGATTGTAATGAGCTCCTCGGTTACACTCCAACATACCGGTATTCAGCTCCGCGCCGGAGTAAAGTCACTGACTTTCTCCGCACTCTATCTCCGCCACCAGATCCCACACTGCCAGACGTCCCCTTCATTCGTTTAACCGAAGCAAAAGAAATGGCCAAGAGGAGCCGCATTAAGAACTTGCTCACTGCCACTTCGTCCGAGATCCCGAGCATTCCAGCCCGCTCTCCGGCTGCCGGTCAATCCAACGGGACCGTGGTTGCGTTGGCTTCTCCAGCCGCCGGGCAAGCCAGTAAGACTCCCGCCAGGCTGGCAAAAGACCTCGTGCAAACCCTTCTGCCGAGCTAGTAACTGAGCTCAACATCGAGCAACCTGCTGTCACCATCGACCCAACACTGGCATAGAAGCCCCAGCTCAAACACTGGGGCAAGGAGTTCCTGGCAACAACTTCCGTTAAGGGCAACAAAAAGCATCTTCTCGCCTTTGACCTCACCAAGGCCCTTCTCTTACCGAGCGACGTGGTCGGCAGCGACCATGTTCCAGACACCGGGTTGGTGAAGTCGTCAGTCAAATCCATGACTAGGGTAAGAATCTCAAACTTGTGCTAAAAATTTCACCAAGTGTTTGTTCGATTTTCTTTCTGATCAATCTCTCTTCTTGCAGGCCATCCAGAAGCAGCACTTGGTCATGGAGCGCATTCACCGGCTTCGGCAGAAAGCAACTGACTCTGCCAGCCAAGTTCAAAGCCTCCAAGCCGAGCTCGGGAGAGCCCAGTCTTCACTGCAAATGGTGAACTCCGACAACTATCGGTTGCTCGGCCAGCTTGGCTTTGCCTAGAAGGAGAGAGACGCGCTCCGGGCCGAGCTAGATGCGCTGAAACAATCACGGGAAGAGGATCTGAAGGGTTCAAACAACGCCGATTTCCCTAAGGCCGAGGAGAGTTACACAAAGCAGGTCCGCGCCACCCAAGACATTTTCTTCAAGGCTGGGTGAAAGTCTGCTTGTGAACATCTCGGCCAGGGACCGGGGATCGATGTGTTCGCCACTCCTCCAGCTGCGTCCCTACCGAGCTATCTTGTGCCCTACGCCAACGACGTCTTCGCCGGGTTGCAGGCTGAGGCCGAGGAATAAAGCGACGAGGAAATCGAGGAAAATACGGAGGGGGAAAATCACACAGTTCAGCCCGGCCAAACGAAGACCGGTGTCCAAGACCAAACACCAACGATCAACCTGGAGGCAGCCGATGACGAATTCACTGACCTTTCCCCCCTAGCTTAGTTTTCTTTGTCTGCTTTCTTCCTTTTTAGTTTACACATGTAACCGGGCTATCCGCCCCGCCTCTTGTAATTACTTTTCACATCACTGAAAAAGCTCCACTTTCTTCAAGTGTTTGCACGTTCTTCATGCTAGATAACGTCAGCTGTCAAAATACCTCGGCAAGACTAACCACTTTATCTAACTTATCTAACCGAAAAAGACATCGCGGTTTCCAGCATAAAGTTGAGTAAATCATCAACCGTGTTAGCCAAAGTAAAATATCTCTATTTTAAACTAAAAGTTGAGAAAATCATCAACGCAATTAACCGGAGTAAAACATCTCGGTTTTAAACTAAAAGTTAAGCAAATCATCAACTCAATTAACCGGAGTAAAACATCTCGGTTGGAAACTAAAAGTTGAGCAAATCATCAACTCAATTAACTGGAGTTAACATCTCGGTTAAGAGTCTCAGAGTTGAGCAAAACATCAACTCATTCAACTGGAGTTAACATCTCGGTTGGGCATTTAAAAGTTGAGCAAAACATCAACTCATTCAACCGGAATAAGACATCACGGTTGAGAATCTAAAAGTTGAGCAAAATATCAACTCATTCAACCGGAATAAGACATCACGGTTGAGAATCTAAAAGTTGAGTAAAATATCAACTCATTCAACCGGAGTAATACATCACGGTTGAAAATCTCAGTTGATCAGATCATCGAC